GCGCAACAACGGAAGGAGGAAACGGTTTGTCATTTATGCTGATTGTGGAACGGTATTTCAAAATTACTTTGCACCTCGATGGCCAAGCAGTTAACTTGCTATTTGTTATTCCGAATATTGCATAAAAGTGTTTTCTAATTTTAAGAGTAATAAAATAAAATAATTTGTAATTTTTTTTTTTTTTTAAGAAATTGAAAAGTAAATTTTGAAATGAAATTTCAGAAATATTAATATTTCTTTTATCATTATTTTTCTTTTATTTTTAGCTAGAAAATATAGAATTATAAGCTAGAATTATAATTGTAATGAAATATTTTGTTTCTGTGATTTTTTTTTATGTAATATTTAATAAATTGAAAATTGTAAAAGAATTGTATTTTTAATGTATTTTTTCTATAAGTTTTAAAAATTAGAATAGCAGTTAACTTGCTATTTGTTATTCAGAATATTGCATAAAAGTGTTTTCTAATTTTAAGAGTAATAAAATAAAATAAAATAAAATAATTTGTAATTTTTTTTTAAGAAATTGAAAAGTAAATTTTAAAATGAAATTTCAGAAATATTAATAGTTCTTTCTATTTCTAGGTAGAATTAAGAAAATATAGAATTATGAGCTAGAATTATAATTGTAATGAAATATTTTGTTTTTGTGATCTTTTGATGTAATAAATTGAAAATTGTAAAAAAAACATTTTTAATATATTTTTTCTATAAAATGGAATTCTGTTTATATAAAATCTTCACTTATATGAAGAAGATTTTAATGATACCTAATTGTCTGAATTTTAATTGAGATTGTCAGAACAACAATAAGATTATGTAAAAATCTTTGTAATATAACAATTATTTTGTACTATTCTAATCATTTTCAAATAATGATTTCATAAGTTAATTAATGAATGAAATTTTTAATAACAATCTTCAGTATATAAAAATAAGATTACAAAATGTTAAATCTGTTTATTAACTTTCTGAAATGTGAAATTTATTAATCGTTAAATCCAATTTGTGTAATATACTCAATTTTCTATCTTGGAAAATTTTTAAATCATACAAGATGTTCCCATATCCTGATGACCTACTGTTGAATCATTTTGACATCATCAATAGGAGACTGGATCACGAAATTCGATGATTTATGAACCCACCCCAGATCATCATTTTAACATATATGATCTTTCTTCTCGAAGAAAAATTATATTTGTAATTATTTTTTTTTATATTGATTTCTTTTTAATTTTATCGCTAATCTGAAATCGATATTTCAATATTCCATTTTGAATTCGAAAAATTCTAAACTAATTATCTTTTAATCTCGTAACAAAATTTCAAATTATTAAAAAATTGTTTACGTTTCGTCAATGTATATGACGGATTAAATATTAAGAGATTAAATATATTTTTTAACTTTTAAGTAAAATTAGAAAACTTTGCGTATCTTATATAAATTTAAAGAATTTAAAGAACAAACAAAATAAAGACAAAGAAAACCTTCGAATTTCAAATATCTTTCAAATTGCTTGACAATTATTATAATCATCATTTTTAAGTGAGAAATGAATTCTAAGATTTCACGAAGAGAAATTAAATACATACAAAGAAAGCATTTAATCGCAAAATTCGAGAAAAAGGTCAGATCCGGCATGAGTCAGTTGACAAACCTGATTCTCGTCAAGTCAAGAGGAAACGACGCGACGGTTGCATTAGAGAAATTAAATTTACAATAGGCCTAGGAACACAATTTGAAGTGGCGTGAGTCGTCGAGAATCGAGTATGAACGAAGACAATTGTCCTGACTATTTTGTGCCCGAAATACACGTATCGAGACCCCGCTTTGAAAGTAGGTTGTTACCGAAAAAGAAAGCGTTTGCGAATTAAAATTCGCTCGGATCATTTTCATTGTTTTGATATGTAGAGTGGATTCTGCGTGAAAACAAACCGAATTAATTATAAAAGAAAGCGATAAAACGAAAGAGGTCTCGCGAGGGCGTGAGATTTTCCTTATGAAATTTCTTCCTTGCTTTCGATATATATTCATAATGATAATTAATTGTAAATGGATATAAGTTAAGAAATTTTATAATTTAAAAAAAAAAAAAAAAAAGAATTTGAAGTTTATATTATATTTGTAATGAAATAACTGTAATCTACGATTTTATGATATTTTATGATATTAAAAAAAAAGAAAATTATGCTTATTTCATTGGTTATAATTATTATATTTATCTTAGTTTATTTATTAAAAAAATTTCTTCATTATTTAATTATTTTTTATTTGTTATAAAGTTATTTCAGATTTTTTTATTTTATTTTCAGGTTGTTCATTTAAAAAAATCAGAGGATTTAGACTAGAATTAAATATTTGCTTTAAATAAAAGAGAAGTAACAAGATTATTTTATGATCACGGACATGCTATTTATGCGCATATATGCATATCACGTGTTCTTACGTTAAATATGTACATAAATATGATAGATTATTTTCATTACTATAATTAAAGTTATATTACAATTGTCGAGTATTAAGTATTATTAATACTAACAATAAGAAGTTTAACATGCTAATTACACAAAATATTCGTTCCTTTTTCTTTAATCCATTAAGCTTGTTGTAATAATAAAATTATATTGATGTTAATTTTGCGCAAAATTTATAATAGATTAACAACATTTCATCTTAAAAATTTATATATGTAAGACACGCTAGAATAAATAAGTAGTATATTAGAATATATTAGAAAGGATTGGACATTTTTTATTTTAAGTAAAAATAATTAAAGTAAAGTCCACAAAAAAAGTCATTTTAAAAAATAACGTTTTAAAATAAATTTTATTTATCGTATTAAAAAAAAGAAATTACAGTTTTAATTAATTCTGTAAATTTAATTCAATATTGTATATTCATGTTGAAAAATTACCATGTTATAAAAGAATTAGTACAAATTGAGAATCATGTTATGTGAAGAAAACCATTATATTGTAATAATTAGTGTCTAGTAATTTTATTATTTCGAATAATAATAAAAAATAATAAGAAATAATAAAGCTTCCAATACGAGAAGTAACAGATTAATTTATTTCAAATCAGGAAGTGAATAAGTGAAAAACCATGAAAATACATTTGCATTATTATATGCAAATAAAAGAAAAATGATTTTAGAAAATAGAAATTTCTTCACGCAGATAAACATTTTTATATTCTCAAATTTTTATATTTATTCTCATTTGGATCATTTAAATAATTATTTAAATAAGAATTTTTATTTTTATAATGCCCAATCCTGTTGGAAAATCGATCATCAATCAATAAAGAGTTAATGAAAGAGAAATCTTCTTCCATGGTAGAAATTTAAAAAAAAAAATTTCACGATTTCATCGAAAAATGGAAGACCACTTTCGCGTATTTGACGCGGTGAATGCTCGTAAATAGTCGAAACACGGGGAAATTTAATCGCGAATTTTGTGGCGCGACTTTTTTTCAGACAACTCGAACGAAACTTGCACGATGCGTGCATATAATATCAGTGCCGTGACAAGAGTCGCTTTCACTGACTCTGAAATAACCGCATCGTGACGCGATCCGCCCGTGAAATTCCTACCTGTTAATTTTTATCTCTGATCACCATTTTCATGCGATCGACCGAAATCGATTGAAATCGATTATCGTGAATCGAGAATATTGCGATTCTTTTCATTTCGATTTTTTTTAATTACGATCAACTGTGATTAAGTGATTGTAAATATAATCGATAGGAATTTTTCTTTGACAAGTGCATGAAGATTTGCAAAATAATAGATTTGCAATTTATTGTTTTTTTTTCTTTTTTTTTACTTTTTTCAATTATTATAGAAGAGCTATTAGATAAATTTTATAGAGATTTTTTTCACAAACAATAAAGAATAATTTCAAAAATAATTTTATTTTATTTTATTAAAATGTTAAAAGAGATATTTTTATTGTATAAATTGACGATGCGAATTACAAATGTAATTCGAATTGGATAAAAGTTTTTATTGGATCTCGCTCAACGAAGCAAGTGAAAAGTGGTGTTAATGATCAGACGCCTGTTAAGAAACATGCTTAAAATTTAAGACATCACCATTGGTGACCTCAGCGTCCTATTACATGATTAAATAATTGTCCCCGATTCGTTAACGGTTCATACAACGGAATTTACAAATTCGTACGTTGAGAGAATATAAAAATGGTTAATAATAAAAGTAAGTCATTCAAACATTAAGTGTTTACCTAATTTCTACGATAAATTTTAAATATTAGTAATATTTTTATAGCTATTGACATATGTGTATGTTTACTTCTTTCTAATTAAAATTATTCTAAAGTAAAAAAAAAAAAAAAAAAAAAATTAAAAATCTGATAGAAAATTAATTTACTATAGAATCAGCAATAAAAGAAAAAAACTTATCATATGAAAGCACTGATAAAATTTTATTTTATTTAAAAAATAAAATATTACTTTGAAAATGTTGTAACGTTGATGACTTAAAATATTTCTGAATAATGTAATACAAATATTTTTCATAAACTAATACAAAAAATATTTGTATATATCTTTATTTTCAAATGAAGCATCTTTTTGTGAAATTTTTTTTTTCTAATAATATTAAATCTTAATTTAATCGTATAAAAATAGTACTAATAATAACAATATTAATATTTAATTATTATTTATTTAAATACCACAATAAATTTTTTAATCAATTCTTGAATCTAATTAATGTTTAATTAATATTTAAATGTTATAATATAATTTTTTATAACTATTATACATGTTTGAATATAAATTAGATAATTTTTGAATCCACAGCGATGAATGATAAATAATTTATTTTAATATAATTTATCGATATTATATAAGTAAATATTTACGTGTTTCACACAGTTATAAATATTAAAGAATTAAATCTGATGTAAAAATTATTTTTTTATATTCAATTAATTATAGTTGAAAAGTATTAAAAATAATTAAGAAACATACCATAAAGGCTGATGCATCTGAGTATCCAAAAACTCAATAAGAGTTTGCTAAACATCTCACGTTTGTGGATCAGCAGGAAACGCTCGATTTTTTTCTTCAAAAATCCATCGTCCACGTACCAATTGAAAAATCCAAGGAAAACACGTATTTCAGCGTCAAAAAACTTCGAAACTCGTAAAGATCAGTGTTCTTTCATACTCTCGACAGCTTCAATATCCAACGAAAAATTATTAAAAACAATGGCGAAACTGTTAAAAGTTTGAAGTACGAATGAAAAAAAATAAACGATCGATCGAAGCTTTCGTGATTCACTCGATCAATATACTTTTACGTTTCTTTCTATCAATTTTCTTATCTTAATTACTAAAAAAATATTCTATCTCGTCTTTTACAATTTGATTTTCATTTCATTATAATTTTCCACCACTTTGTATTGCAATTGTATTTAATTTGAAAACAAATTTCTTTTCGTGAAAAATTATTCGTAATATAAAGAATAAAAAATTCTTGAATTCGGTGAACAATGACTGTCAAGGAAAGGTGGTATTTTTTTCAGCTGCTGAACTGTTCTTCTGCTTTCTCCTTCTAAAGGCTCGACGTTTTTTTAAACGCTCAGGCGATCAACAATCATCAAGCACACAACTGTGATGCATACATTCTGTGATTCCGTTTAAAAATATTGTCTCGATGGTTTATCGATCGCCTATAAATCAAACACTTAACAAAATTGCATTATCGATCAATGAACACTCGATAAGTATGATGTCGTTCCATATTAATAGTTCACTATTTAAAAAGCAAAATTAATAAATATAACCAAATATGTAACCGGCTAATCTTTCGATGAACACGACTGATGCATGGAAATCGATAAAATTATTGATTGTTTGGATATCGAGTGGCTCTTTCGATTATCGATATATCGCGCGATACTGCACGAATTTCACGTTTTCATTGTCCAAATCGCTTTCGAAGCGATCTCGAGTTTTCGCGGAGAGGCGCAGTTCGTTAAAACGAGAGGCTTGAAGCGCCAGCAGAAACTAAGAGAGAGTTCGTGCAATCGGTAGTCTACACCTGCAGGAACACCAGAGCTGCTACCTCGTGGCCTACTATAACAGAACTGACTCCCACCATAATGTTACTGTGGTTCTTTACTTGCTATAAACGAACGGTGTTTATTCGCCATGTCTACCGATGGTTCAACCATTTCCTCTATCGCATTCTAATCAAGATGACATCGATGACAACTTTGCTTTCCGTAATTGATCATTTCAACGAACATTCGAAGAACTTTTTTATTATTTGTTTTGGGATGTCCACGAAACTTAGATAGATTTTGTTTTTCAAGTATGTTATGTCATTTTTATATGGTTAGTTTTAAAATAAAATATTTTGTTCTATTAATAGAATAATGGAATATTAGAAAATGGAAAACTTTTGAAAAAGATTATATATCAAGACAAAAGAGAAACTTTCGTTTTGGTATATTTCAAAAAATGATGTACTGTTAAAAATAAATAGTTAATTCAGATAATTAATTCGAATCGAATTTGAATTAATTTATAAGATTGAAAGAAAATGCATTTTAAATTTATTAGAATATTTATAATTATTGAAAAGATTTAACCAAATTAAAAAAAATAACATAAATAATCATTTATATTATTTTTGTTATTATTTAATTTAATTTTATTTAAAAAAAAGATTATCTTTGCATGAATGAAATAAACTATGAAATTGATAAAAAAACAATAATTAATACTAAAAATATAGCTTTATAATATTAAATATTTTTTATATGATTAGAATTAAACTAATGAAAATAGATAAATTATATAATTATTTTAATAATTATTTCTATTTCAATAAAATAAAACATTTTAAGAAAATCTATATCTTTTCAATAATTATAAAATAAAAAATATGAAGTTCATATTTGATAATTTTAGTATCAAATAAAAAAAAGTAAAAAAATTGTCTAATAAAGAATAAAAAATAACTTTTTTTAATAATAAAAAATCATTTCTAACATTTCAAATAATTTAAAATATTATTTATTAAATGGATTATAAAATTTTTATAAAATTTCTATTTTTTTTTATTTATTTTTAAGTATTTAAACAATTGTTTATATTACATCAAAAATTTTGTATTTTCTAATATTTATATATTATAATTTAAAGTATTGCAAAAATTGTAAAATTTTTATGATATAAAAGATATATATATATATATATATATATATCATTGTTCGAACTATTTTTAGAAATAATTATATTGTTTTCCTGTCGCGTGAAATCATTAGGTGTGCAGCGAACCGTTGTTATTTAATTCTTAATGCGTTCTAACACCTTATGGTTACCGTATATCGTTGCCTAACAAAGACTGCTAAATTTCTTAGGTTGTCGCAATAGAGGAGTTTCACTAGTATCGAAAGCATCCGCACAATGACATACGAACTGCGCATTACTAAATATTATATCATCTTATAAAAAATAAAAATGAATTTCCCATGATAAATAGTGACTCAATTTGGCAAATACTCGTTAATTGAGATTGATTAATGCAATAGGCGCTAAATTGTCTTTTCCTTTTATCACTTCCATTATATTTTCCAAAAATTTTTTTTTATTTTTATTTATATTTACTCGAATTTTTGTATCAAAGTTGTAAAAGATTTATTTATTTTTTTTTTTATATTTATAGTATCCTTGTTTCATTAAAAACAAACTCATTCAAAACAAAATTAATGCAAAAATTAATTTTTAAGAAAATATGATAAATATTTAATAATCTTAGTAATTTCTGTTTTTTTATTTTTATTTTAAATAATGAGATATGACATTTATAAATTTTATTTTTATTTTCATATTATTAAAAGGTCCATTTATGATCTTTTTTTTATAACGACTTATAATTAACATAATAGCAGAAGTAGACGCATGCATTCAGACACAATAAGTAGAGAAAATTTACTAAGCACTTCATAACAATATTTAGTAAAGATAAAAAAACAAACAAAACTGATAATCAATGCAATAATCTCACATGAATTAATTTGAAGTTTTCTTTTTAAGAATAATGAATGCATAGGATAATTTTTTTGATGCATTTAATTTTTTTTTATTGTTTTAATAAAAAATATGTGCGAGAAAAACATTTATTTGATTGAGAATGTACTTGAATGTAAAAAAGACTATAATAGTTTATTTTCATTGTTCTATCGATAATTATATGTATCATATTTATGATAGTTTTTATATGTGTGGGATATATTAAATCAATATTATAAAAATTTGATAGATTATATTATTATTACATTATCAAATAAAATAAAGTTATTTTGGAAATTATTTTTGCTATATTTAATTCATTGAAATTATTTATTATATATATTTATATATATTCTTTTCATATTATTTATAATAAGTAAAAATATAATACATAATTGATTTTAAATATATTTATCATTTTATTTTAAATAATACTTAATATATACATAATATTCATTTATAATAAGATTATTTTGATAGTTTGAGATTTATTTACAATTAGAAAAAAACATTAAAAATTTGAATAATTTATTTTATATATACCATTATTCTATATATTTTAAATGATATAATGCAATATATTATTTGTAAAATTGAGTTTCATCGAAATCATCTTCGTATTCCTCAATTAACTTTGACTTAACTATTGGTTTACGTTTTTCCAATCTAATTTGACGTTCTTCTTCAGAAAGAGTATTAAGATCAAGAGGAAGAATAATTATTTTTCTTGGTTCTTCATAATCAATGTTAATACTACTACCATCTGGTAAAACAAGATACACTGGAAAACTATTTAAATATAGTTTTCTATGTTTTTTTGTTATTGCTGCTGTCCAACAATTAAGATTTCTATGAAGTGATAATACTTTCTGCATTGGTTGTAGAATTGAAAATATATTCATTCTGAAATATGAATATACATTTAAAGAATTATTAAATATATATATTTATTCTATTACTATAATATTGATAAAATTATGATATTAAGAAATTGATATAAAAAATAAAATTTATAATTCAAATATATACATTATTGAACTATAAAAAGAGGTTATATTCAACATTAAGATTAAAATCCATTTCTGAATCAAAATTAATATTCATTAATATTACATTCTCTATCTAATATTTAATAATAATATTTTATAAATTTACATAATTAAAAATAAACTAGACTTACCTCTTTCTTGAATTAACAATATCAACAACTTCGTACGATACGTTCTGTTATATGCATAACCTGAACATGTCATTTTACGTGTCTGGCCAATAGATGGCTCCGTATCATAAAATCGAATATCGAAATATCGATATTTATTTTAATTGTAAAAACTCGGCGGTTTTATTAGTTCATGGAGTGTTTAATCAAAGTGCGTGAAATGGACAATTTTATTGAAAAAAGTGACTTATTTGATTTTATGAGTGATTAAACAAAGTGGATGCAACTTTTATGTTATATAATTGGATGACTTTACAATTTTTATGGATGAATACGTCACATAATGGTAAGAATAAAATTGTATTTAACGTATTCAAATTAAGCATCATGAAATCGGTATCAAGATCATTATTCATTTTCGCATTTGAATCACAGATAAATACATTATTCTTTATTGTAATTATAAACAAGCAACTAATTGATACTAGTGTCACAAAATTAAGCAATATTGCTAGTTGATGCATTTTCTTGCGATTCTCCGTAATTGTTACCAGGTATTTCGACATATTCTTTACGATCCCTGTGGAAAGTAAACTATATATAACTTTGTATATACCTTTTCTTTATAATAAGGATAAATAAAAAAAATATAATTGTCTAATGAATGATTCTACATTTATGATATTTATTTTTTTCTTAGCTTTCGCTCATTGCAAAACAATGTTAGTTTGATTAGTGATGTTAGTAAATTTAATACAATAAAATACACTCATACGCATACACACGTCGCACACACACACATACGCACATAAACACACACACAAACAACGCACATACATACCATGCAAGAACAGATATACTTCAAATTGTCATACATCTTTTATATAAATATTAATTTTCTTATGGTTTAAAAATATTAAAACCAATATTTTTATACCAAAACAATTATGGCAAAATATTTTATTGATTCACTTTATAGAAATTCGACTATAATGAAAATCATTATAGAATTTATAAAAACTTTTTACAATGATTAAATATAAAAAGTCACATTGTTATATTTTATTACAATTTATCTTTAATATAAAACAGATTTAATACATGCTGCATGCTTTAATTGCAGCATCAAGATACGAGCTATAATTTAAAATTTTGAAATATAATAGATTTCTAAATATTTATTAAACTACATAATATATAATTTATCATTAGACTAAAATGCATAAAAACATGCAAATAATTTTTATTATAGTTTCAAAATAAGTACACAAATGTAAAACAATGAATAATCACAGTTTTCAATAATTTTTAAAAATTTTGGATAAATATTTATAATTATTCAATGAAAAATAGAAAATAATAATTTCTATTTTATATATATATAATATCGTTTAGCATGTTAATACAGTTCCAACTATTAAGCAAGGATTTTTTTTTTATTGCACAATAAACAACCAACTGAGATTCGTTAGAACATTTAAAAATAAAATAATCTCATTTACAAAAAAACATATTACAAAATTTTGAATGGAATGTAAATTTTGTATATCTAGCGTTATACGATAATGATAACGATATGTATTAAAATGTTTTAAATACTGAGCTCTGAATTTTCATTTCTATTGAAATGAAATTTCATAAATTATATTTGTTTATGATACTCTACTTAGAAAACCACAACAATACGTATCTTTTAGGTATCGCCCCGAATCTTCGTCATATGAATTCTCTTGTTTATGCAGTATTTCGGTACTTCTTGCATTCTCATTATCTACTCTGTAAGAATTTATGATTTTGCAAGCTCGTGCAACTTGGAAGGGAAAAGCGTATGGTTGTGAAATGATTCTAAAATAAAATTGACGACGAAAGATTCTTATATTCTGTGTTTGAGGTCAATCATCTTTTCATGGATAAATCTGTAAACAAATTTTTTTGCTGCCTCATATCTACAATTCATACTAGCAAAAGCACGTACGTATAAGAATTGAATTGATTTAAGCAGGTAACAAGTAGTGCATATGAAATTTTCTATCAAATTCATCCGAATTTATCTATATTGAATACAAATTTTATTAATCACGTTTATAGATATTAAAATGTAGTCAATTTTAATTTGTTATGAAATAATGAAATATAAATAATTCAATGAATAAAATATACGAAGCATGCAAGTTATTTTTACTTTTTACACATGCAGTAAATCCAATGACTAATTTTTAATTCAATATTTCAATAATGCATTAGAACAAACATGCAATGCTTTTAGTTTTTCTTTAAAATCGTTAATGTTAATAACTTTTTTTAATAATACAAGCATTATTTATAATTCTACAAAAATTTAAAATTTTTTCTAATTAAAAAAAAATGATTTATGATGAGGAGATATTTAAAAATGTACATACCTATACAAAACATAGTGTTGTATAATAAAAAATATATCAAATGCTACCGAAAAGAATCCCAAACCAAATTTTGTGGGATCTCCAAAAATACTTTCCCAATCATCTAAAATGAAATTATAATTCATTAAATATCTTTCATTAAATATAATATTTTATAATATAATTTTATAATATTTTTTATTTTTATATATATTTTGTATTATTTTATTTTATATACATTACCGTAATTATATGCATTGAGTATCATCTGCAGCATTGATAACATACCACCAGTAAAATCTAAAAATATATTGCCAATACTCCAACCAACAGTGGATTTTCTTTTATAATTATAAAATGCTTGTGGAACATATTTAATTAATGTTATACTCAATTTAACATAACTACAATAATATAGGAAGTCAAGCCACGTTATTACATTTGCTATAGCTAATATTATAGAAATTAAAATAAAAACTATAAATATTCCATGAATAACACGTGCTGTAGTAGATACTCTTTGATTTCCTATCTAAAAAAATAATATTTTTATTATTTTTTAAAAAAATTTTTAAAATTATAAAATAATCACAATAAATTTTAATTAATTTTACCTCATAAATAAAGCATTGAATAATAGTTATCACAGTCGCAAATGTTGCGTGCAATGCGAAAAAAATATCATTCACTTGTACAGGATTCAAACCTTTTGGATATCTTTTAAAATATTCAAGCTATAAAATACAATGTTAGATTAACTTATGATAAAAAATCATGATCAATTGCATTTGTTGCATTTTTTTAATTTACCTCAACTATTGGTATCCAAAACAGACCACAATTGAAAAGTGCATACATAATAAAACCAACTAAGTTTAATGATAAATAATCAAAATTTAATCCTACAACACTTTTGCGTTTGTAATTACTATATATTTGTGGATAAAAACTCACACTCCAAGCTAGAAAGTAAAACCATCCTACCACAATACTTATGTGATAAAGTATATCTGATTTTTCAACTGTCACTCTAACAAATGCATCTGAAAAACTGAACAATAACATAAAAAATTAAATATTGTGATATATTTAACACAAACTTTATAAAACAATTTGAAAAATAAACTACAATAAATTTATAATCTTACTTCAAATTAACTTTGTTTAATTGATCTTGAGGTATTAAAATCACTTTAAAAAGTGTCATTATTTTAATGTCAACTTTTAAAGTTTCTTTTGATCTAATATACACTTTGCAAATTAAATATTTAAGTAGAAGTTGGTAGAAATAAATGCATTAAATTAAAGTAAAATTTGAAAAATAAATAAATTAATACTTTTATTATAAATAGCTAATGTATCATGTTTTAGTAAGAACAGATGAACACAAACTGACTGAACTTTCAATAGAAGAGCTAATGACAAGTATAGGTCAAAAGGTTATCTCTGCGAACCACTGAGTACTAATAAATGTAATATTGATTAAAATCTTTTGAAATCTTAATCATAAAAATAAATATTTATATTATTTCAAATAAAAAATCAATCATATTTAATATTAAAGAAATTAATTTTTTCTCATATATATTGTTTTATGATATATTTGCAAATCAAAAAAACATAAGTTAAATAATTTAATTTTTAAAAATATTTTGTTATCAAGAATGGAGAAGTATACATACTTTAAAACATTGTTAGGTATGACATTAACACTAACAATTGAATGTCCTGCATTGAGACCTTTTACAGTTATAGGCCATGTCTTCTGTGTATCAGTTTTATTAATTTTTAATTCGTCTGGACTTATATGAACTAAATCTTGATGTTGCACTTCGAATTTTACAACTACATCTTCAGATAACATTTTCCTATAAAAAATAATTGTTTTATTGTTATGTAATTGTATATCTCTTGTTTAATTTAAAAAACATAGTTTATAAGATAATAATTAAAATGCTATTATTTTATATATATTATTATAAAATGTTATCAATATTCTTGTTCTAGATAAAATATTTTTAAATATAATACAACAATCAATTATAAATTAAAATATTTTAGAAAGAATATTTTAAAATTAAGATATAATGAAAGCAATAGAATTAACAATTGCATATAAAAATAATATAAATAAATAATATACAGATTATACAGTGAACAATAGAGTCTTTATGCTTTATTGAGTAAACATGTTATATTTTATACTTATTGTTAGATAAAGTTAATTGTTATATGCTTGCTTATTATATGCAAAAATACTTACGTCAGGTACAAATCAAATGATTCTTGACTATTTAAATGAACAGTTAGATCTTGAGTTGAAACCTTAAAATCTGCCTGTGTTTTGTCTATAACTAAAATATTAATTGTTATGTAGTACAATACAAAAAGGATTCTTTTATAATTTTATTTATAATATCATTTACTAAAATACTATTCCAACATACCTAGGATTGTGATAATCCCAATGTACCATATTAAAGCCATTTTTTGTGATTTCTGAAATAAATAAAAAAAAATTTTAATCTTAAATTATTTTAAAATTAACATTTAGAATAAGAATAACTATATTTGGTCATACTTGTATGGATTAAAACAAATATTGGTAATAATCAACAACTAATTGTTCAAAATTATGAAAGCACTTATTTCAAGATATCATTATTATCTTATATTTTGATATGTTTAATTACATTATAAATGGATTGAATCGACAAAATATACGTCTAGCCGAGAAAAGAATCTTTCAACTTCTGAAGACTTTGACCGCTTAATACGCGGAAGAAACAAGGAAGTCTTAGAAAATGCCTGGCACTTTGTTGGATGCATACTATTAAGATATAAATCGGAAAATCTATAGTAATCCGTCAACTGTCAATCACACATAGTCAAAACATGATTGACCGCATTTTTTGACTTGAATATTATTAATATTACAAATGTTATTAATACAATAATTTAGAAGAATCGAAAACCATGTTGGTACGATTTCGAACAGTACGTTCGCTTCGTATTGAGCGGAAAGACACCGAGAGTATCAATCGAACTTAACCTCGGAAGCACGACGACCTCGATGAAACATACCACGAGGCGTTAAAAACGATAAGACCATGCGTCTGGGAAATTTCAATGTTTCGCTCGAATTTTAATGGCCATATCGAGGCATATTGGTTGACAAAACTAAACATTGCCGAATATTTCACGGCGACCCAATCGAAAAATCGATCGAGCCGGTACACCTCCACACCGGGTAAACATAAATAGAAACTCTTATAACATAGTACATATCCTCTGTTTATGCTGTGCGACTAAAGGTGGTGGCATGAGCATGAGAGATGAGTTTAAGGTACAGGAGCGTAACGTAGTGTGGTCCCAGAGGGAAATCTGTCTCATACATAATATACATAATGTTTATCGTAGAATTTCGTAAAATATATATATATATATATATACAAATCGATAATAATGATAATATTTTTGTTTAAGATAAAAATTTTAGAGATCGATGATTTATTTGAATCTTATTGTATTTTGAAAGTTGCGAGAATTAAACCGATATAAATTTCAAGTAAAATTATTCAGATAAAAGAGTAAAAAAAGGTTTTTCTGGCTTGTATCGAGATATTTGCATGTAAATTGCAGGGTAACGTGACGTTATTAACGAGTTCCATAACGTGATGGTTATCGTTTTGATACGCAATGTTCCATTATGGGGTTTTTTCGTTTCGTCAAATTACGTTCTTTTTCGTACTATTCATTTTCGTAATACTCTCTCGGTAAACTGGCAACTATTCAAAGATAATGGACCATTTATTTTTTTCATTATTTCTCTTCTCCTTTATAATTTTTCAATATTATAATTCTTGTATTACTATCATTTCTTTTTTTTTTTTAATTTTACATATTAATCATTTTACGAAGATGTTTTATTGTTACAGATTTGTGAGACTTAAAGATTATATTTAATTTGTTTTGCCATTCATATTCGATTCTCAGTTTCTTGCTTGAAATTCCACTTCTTTATTCATACATACATATGTATGTGTATATATTAACATGCGTTCTTTTTTTTTTAATACCACTTGATAACCTTCAACTGAATTGATAAGAATTTTATCGATCAATCAACAATTACACATAATACCATTTTATCTAAGATATTATATATTTATTGCATAAATTATTTTGAAATAAATTTGTACATACATGAAATTAAATTTCGAATAAAATTTATCTCTCGAAACGAAGAACACTATGCTCTTAATAAAATTAAATTTTCTTTCGCGTACAAAGGATGATTTTAAATTGTAAACATAAGTTAGAAAAAAGAGTAACATTTTTTTTTTCGTTTGAGGCTTCGCTTTCAAAAAAATAAGAATAAAATAAAAATTAAAAATTTATCAAGATTATAGTAGGTATAATAAGTAATAAATATAGATTAAAATTTATATGTTAAAAATTTTACTTTTTAAAAAGATCGAATATTAAATTGAACATTTATTACAATCAATAGCATTTCTTATCCAATTTTAAAACAAGATCAACGAATATATGTATATATATATATCATAATTCTCAAACTGACTGTTTCGATTTAATTTTGAATTCTTAAATGAATACATGATACAATTAAAATTGATATCCGTTGAAATCTGTTCATTAAATTATTTCTAATCGACATTTTAATGTCAATGAATTTTTACAATAAATAAATATAATAATACTTATTTACCTCATAATACTATTTTTATATTTTCCCGAAAACGAAAGAAATATCCTTCTTTTTCACTTATTTTCATATATAAAAATTCTAAATATCTTCTACCCAATAACGTTCAGCTCCATCCTTACATACTTAGATAAGAACCAACCAATCGAAACGCTTCCATGCTTTCCACGACTTAACTATACGTTAATACTTCGCATTCGAAAAAATTCTCTTCCGACGAATCCAAGTGAACGGCACTCGGAGGTGGACTACTGTATACCAATACACATTTCGAGACAGAATAAATCGAATGGGAGATCGACGTTCGAGTGCACTCGGTGTCCCAAGGGGGCCTTCGCCAAGCTTACACGGAAACAGCTCTGAAAGTCGATCGGCAGTCAGCCGCCGCTTTTGTTGACGTATACAGCCAACCCTCGCCGCCAATATTTTTCTTTGCCTCGTAGCAGGACCTAATCCTCGAAGATAGCCTCCATCCTCTTTCTATCAATTTCAATTCGTCCTCGATATATATATATATATATGGATAAACAAGATTGTTCCTTGCAAGACGTTGGTATATATAATACTTGGAAAAATTATTATCGTTCGAACCGTGGAGAAAGGGAATTTCCAAGGGCACGCATTCCTCCTTCGACGTTCCTTTCCACGGATTTCAAGATTCAAGGAGTGGCTGTCGCGGCATCCTGCAAATTTCCGAATCGTTTGAAAATATTTTCCTCGATGGAAATGGAGAAAATATCTATCCCGTCGACTATTTACTTATCGGTCTACGATCGATATTACACGGTCCGTGTATTTACGAAGCCATCTCGGTTGTCTGGACGATTATCAGAATTTAGAAATAAGTGTTATGTAGTTTTGAAATTCTGTTTTTTTTTTTTTTTTATCTTTCTTACGTACTTGATTCCGCTTGTGATACGATCAGATGACTCGAGGTACGTCGTGATAAGTGAATAATATATCTGGAATCCTTTGTCATTTCGATAGAATATTTATTTTCGTTATCGTGTTAAATTATTTTTTCTTTTTGTAAATTAACATATTATGAATTATTTTCTATAATTATTATTATTATTATTATTATTATTATTATTGGTTATCGTAGAATAATCGAGGTTCAAAATTTAATTCCGTATCGAAACATTTGAAATTTCTTGAAATTTAGAAATCTCAAATCACACACTTTCTATCATTATCAGTCACTTTACGTATGAGAGTTATAAGCAATAGTCTGCAATAACAAGCGAGGAATCGTTAATACAAAGGTAAATACTTGAAAACATGCAAACAATGAATTTATTTTTTAGAGTTTTTTGCACGAGGTAAATATAAACCCGAAGGATATATCGCAATATGCCATTCATTAAATCGAAAAATAATGTGTCATTACGCGGTTAATGTGTATACACACTCGTAATACAATCTTTCTGTTTTATAATTCGTTATCCGCTATCCTTTTTCCACGTATCGCTTGTATAATACGAGTTATTTGCTCCTTGATAAACTTAATACCACACTTAAATAGGTCAAGTGTCGATGAAGTTCCATCGAGATTGCTGAAAGTGTTATTCGCTTTGGAAAGAATGAAATGGATATATAGGAAGAATCGTGGCGATACGAGTGTAAGTAGTAAAAAAAAAAAAAAAAAAAGAAAAGGAATTTATCGCTATGAATGCCACTCATTTACATGAACTAGACTATTGTCTAGACGGAATTCTCCAGAGTCTGAGGAAAGAAAGATTCGTTAATCAATTTCAATAATTGAATTGTTACGTATTTATACATCGATCTTCTTATACCAATAACCTTAATACAAAATTTACAGTATTTTAAGAAATTTTCAAATTTTAATTTCTTCAATCTTCAAGTTTTCAAATCTAATTAAATCTAATCCATTTATATTTCAAATTTAGAATTTTATTATTGACGTTATAACGTGGTCTTCGATTCTACGTATCACTTTTTATTAAATTATAATTGTGTATAGTAATAATACTATAAAGTATAAAAGATAAATTAAATTTAATCATATGATGAGAATAAATTACGAAATTATAATAGAAATAATAGAAATTAGTTATACTAGATAGTAGATTTGGATTTAATAATCAAACATATACAGGGTGTTCCAAAAATATTAATTAGAGATTCCTGAAGTAATTTCAAGCAATATTTTCCTTTGCAAAAACCCTCGTCACAGTTTTGTTAACGAGTTATTAACAAAGAAACACTGGCCAATCACAAAACCCATATAGTCGAGCCAGCGTTGGCTACGTACCGTCGACGAGCACGAACAAGTCTAACCAAAATATATCGAAGAAAATTGAACATTACGATTCATTCATTGCTCGTAATATAACATAATCTCGATATATTTCCATCGATGAAAAAATATTTTTTATACTCAAACACACATTTCTTCGTCACATATTGCTTGAATTTGTTCGCGTTGCTGGTCGACGGTACACAGCCATCGCTACCGTCGTGACTCACTAGGCTACGCGCTCCGTGATTGGCCAGTTTTTTTTTGTGTCAATAACTCGTTAACAAAACGAAAACGAATATTTTTTTCAAAGGGAATATCGCTTAAAATTACCTTAATACCGAATAACGGACGTTCCCATATTTTTGAGACACCCTGTAAATGTTGCAATGAATATAACGAATTTGCGGCACCGCAATTAACCTGATATTGATTAGCTAAAATTATTCTCGTAGCAGCGGCCTAAATATCGCCAATTTGCGCTACTTTTTCGACTTTTTCGTTAAA